TGGAATGATATATTGCAAACTTTTCAGGCAGTGCAAGAATTAATGAAGAACTAATAGAAATATTTTCCATTTTAGAAATTACTAGAGACACTGTTGTATCAATAATGTTCAGTAGATCAAAGAAATAAATTTATAATCCTGTGAACAACAAAGTTTGATTGGTTTTTCTACATTTTATCAACCTTTTTGCAGGTTATTTAAAGCCAGGAAATATTTTTAAATTGGATATTTTTTTGGTGGGGGATGCTAATTAACCCTTAGCTGAGAGAGTAGAAAAGGTAGATTCATACCTTTCCAAAGTGTATTTACGCATAAAGGAATATAACGAACCTAATGGGAATTGAAACTCTGATCTCCGATTAACAATTCCAAATCATTATCCATTACACCACCCGCACATCCAAGCTTACAGCACCTGGTATTCTCAAGCCGTTGCCCATCTAGGTATTGACCAGGCTCAATATTACTTAACTTTGTTGATCATACAGGAACCCATGTTTCAATGTGATATGATCATAAGCCATGAATAATAATGCATTACTAGATAGCTGAAGCAATAGTTAAATTAGCAAGTATTTTTTATACATAATTATCTCTTGACCTAAAAGAAAATTTTGAAAAATTGCACAAATTTTTATTTTTCTGACTTGGGGAAAAAAAAAAATTTAAATAATACTTTGATAATATCGATAAACATAAGTTAAATCAAATATAACATAAGTCAATAATCACTTTCACATTTTTTTAATAGAAAAGTTTGCTTAATGCAAGGCTCAAGAGGCACTCAATAGAGAGTGTTGTGGTTATAATGGTAATGACGTGATATGAGTGAAAGGGAAGGTAGTAAAAAGTTATGAGGATAAGTAAGATAGATAATGATTGAACCTTGACTTGTAGAGGTTAAGATTGCAGTGTTCGAGGAAGCATCCCTGAGGGAGTCTGTTCCACAAAGTAGCCGTTCTCATGGGGGAAAACTGAGTGGAACTTCCTCTATTTATCCAGGCATATGTCAGGGCAGTCCATAACCCAAGATTTCTTAGGTGTGGCTGTAGGGAATTTAGTGAGGACTGTAATATGCTCCATACAAGTTTTTTATTTATTTATTTTTTTTCTTACTAAAGTTCACTCGATAGAAGGCTCAAGAGCCATGCAAGGTAGAGGGTTACTAAAAAAAGGTGTGTATATAAATGGAGGTAGAAAGAACTGAAGATTAAGACTTGAAGGCTTAAGATTGTAATATTCAAGGAAGCAACTCAGAGAGTCTGTTCCACAAAGTAGCAGTTCATACTCTGAAATCAGTATTTCAAATTTCAATGCCAAAATTGATTCTTCTGTATTCAGTCTGTGAGTTAAGTGCCACATGTAATACACACTTGGGCGATCATGTCTCTTTTGATTCATGACTAAGTTGAAGATTTTCTCACCGTAGGTTGACGTTTCTTTCTGCTGTATACTGGTTGCCAACCAAGGTTTATAGGGACTCAGTCTGTCCTTCTATTCAACCCATAGCTGAGGGGCTGGGTGGAGAGAAGAGATTGATTCATAATTTTTCCAAAGGTATTTGTGCATAAGTGAATCTAACAAACCTGATTGGAATTTGAGCTTGGCTCTCTCCCATCCTTTACACATTTAAAGCATATTAATTTGTAATGATATCAAAGTCTTGTGTTAAACACTGACAAATAAAATTAATTCAGTCTTATGCAAAATTGAATTAAGCTAAGATGCTCAACCATCCTGGTCTTATGAATTGAAATTACTTTTATATTTAAAAAAATTTGTAATATTTACATTATTCAGACTGTTGTCCCCCATCTTTATTGCTATATTCCCAACATTTCAGCTTATGTACACTCCGGCCTTCTTCAGGAACGTACAACAACCAAAACATTGTGAATATGACAATAAAGATGAGGACAACAGTCTGAATAATGTAAATATTACGAACATTATAAATTTAATAGTGTAAATATAGACAGATGTTAAAAAAGATTTATCAAGCAAAAAAAATTCTTTTTTACAAAGAATATAAGCAAAAAAGGCTTGAAATTTCTAATTAAAATCTTTTGTTGTTCCATTTTTTTTATTTCAAACATTTTATTTTTTATTTCTTTTAAACATGTAAATCTGTAAAAATTAAAAATTGTAATAAAATATTATGTTTACCCTAGTTATGATTGCCATTTAGTACACATTGTTTAGTATAGCACAAAGCTATAAGTGTGGGGTACCCAATGAGGATTGTCTTCACAATCTGTTAGATAAGCCTGTCAGACATTGATTCAAAATATGCATTTATGAAGACTAGTAGCTTAGTGCATATTAACATATAATCACCTTATTATCAACACTTAATAAACTTTGTATAGTCTGGCACAAGGATATGGGAATGACACCCCAGTGTGACTCAAGCTCACTATACATTAGTAATAATGGTTTATGGGAGTAGCTTGCTAACAATTTAACAGGAATGCCTATGATTACTTGTATTAATATTAATATATAATCATCACATTAAATGGTGTCTAGATGTCTTCTTTTTATTCCAATTACTTTTGATAGATAATAATTGACACAAATATTGAATTATTAAAATTAACTGTTTGTTATTTTCTTCTTGTTTTCTTTGTATGAATGGCCATAATGCCAAACAGAGGAAATATTGTGTAACGAAAAAAAAATAGTGAATCCAGTGTAGCTGCCTCATTTTTATTCAGTTGCAGTTTTCAATCTGCCTTGATACAATCGGCCAGCCTGCTTGCTCTTCTCAATGTACTTGTAGAAAGATGATGATCATAAAAACGGATTGTTGTTGACAGTGTGTTCTGGGAGTTGTTATGCCGACAATGACGATGACGACGACGACCACGACGACGACGACCATGACCTATGAAAGCCAAAGCAAGCAAATCAATTGTAAAAGGCTCGGTAAAGCTAGAATCATAATTAATTGGCTGAAGATAGCAGCAGCAGCAGTGAAGGTAGCACTAACAGCAGCAGCAGCAGCAGCAGCACTCGTTTCTATTTCATTCACAAAGGATAGTGAAAGTGAGAGGAGGCTGACCTTCATTTCACATTTAATTTACAGCCTTTCACAAGTACATAATGGTGTGTGTGTGTGTGTGTGTGTGTGTGTGTGTGTGTGTGAGCGTCTGTGTGCATGCGTAATACAGTTATGTGTGCGTGTAAAGAGAGAAATACAGAAAGAGAAATAGATAAGAACAAATAGATAGAAAGACAGATATGTCTAGATGTCGTTAAGTGACGTTTATGCATATGTGTGTGTATGTGCATGTGTAATTGTGTTAATGTTATTGTGTATAAAGAATGAGAGAGATAGAGAAAGAAATAAGAACAGACTGAGACATCTGCATGTCTGTCGGTGTGTGTGTGTGTGTAATTGTGTTATGTGTGTGTATACACGATCAGTTATATATGTGTGTGTATGTGTAAATAATGAAATAGAGATATAAACAGAAATAGATAAGAACAGACTGAGATAGATAGATAGATAGATAGATAGATAGATTAGGAACAGCATAAGACAGATAGATATAGATGTTAAATGACATGTACATGTATGCGTGCTTGTGTAATCGAGTTATATATGTGTGTGCACATATTGCTATTTGTGTGCGCATGTGTACATATTAAACATTTTCAGTTACATATATGTGTGTACATGTTAAGTCATTTCTGTGCATGTTTGCATGTTAAATTACTTATGCATGTGTGTATACATGTAATGAAGATATATCGTTTGTGTGTGAGTGTATGTATGAATACATGTGTCATTTGTGTGAGTATGTATGTCTACATGTGTGCCTGTGTAATCCAGTTTTATGTGTGTGCACATATTGCTATTCGTGTGCGTATGTGTACTTGTTAAATATTTTCAGTTACATATATGTGTGTACATGTTAAGTCATTTGTGTGCATGTCTGCATATTAAATTACTTATGCATGTGTGTGTGTGAGTGTATGTATGAATACATGTTGTGTCATTTGTGTGAGCATGTATGTCTACATAGTAAATTATTTGTGTGGTTATATATAATTGTGTTCTTTTATATCAAATTAGTGTGTGTATATCTACATGTTAAATTGCTTGTGTGTATGCATGTGTAGGTGCGGCATATTTTTACATTCTTCTTATTTTGGGATGACAAAAAAGAGAATAATATTAAAATAGTCCTAATTTTATGAGTTCTAATGTCAACAAGAAAAAAAGCAAATAAACAATAAACTTAGTTAAGTTTAGCAAAAACCCACAAGTATGGGGCTCCCAGTGAGGATCAAACTCACAAACACTAACCATTAATTACATTTCGAGTTGATTTGACATTTCTTTAAGAATAAAATCAGAATAAAAAAATGCTATATACCTTTTGGGGCACAGATGATGATGGCTCTCCACAGATTCCTTTTTTTTTTTTTTTTTTTCTGTTATCAGTGAATTGCCATGACATCTTGGAAAAGAGAGTGGAGTGTTTTCTCATTGCTTTCTCTATGGTTTAGAATTTCCTTCTTTTAAAATGATTGTCACCTAAGACTAGAAAGGTTACTATTTAACCCTTAGCTGATGGAATAAGAGACACATTTAGGCTTTTCTCAAGAGCATTTATGCAAATGTGAATGTGAATATTAACATCAAATTTGGTTTAAGAATTTGTAAAAAAAAAAAAAAAAAAAAAAAAAACCTTTTTCTTCTTAAGGTCATGAAGTTGATTGTTTTCATTTAGCAGCATATCAACACTTCTATGAGTCATTCCATGACAAAATTTAAATATTTTGTTTGCAATTTTATTATTTGGGAGATAATAATGGTTTTAGTTTTACAAATTTTACTAATTAATCCATAGCTGGGGGAGGAAAAGAGATGGATTCATACATTTCTGAATGGTATTTGCACATAAATAATTATAATGAACTCAACTGGAAATTGGCTTTCGATTAACAATTCCGGGCCATTATACTTTACACCATCCATACATCCAAACTTACAGCACCTGGTATTCGCAGGCGGTTACCCATCTAAGTACTGATCAGGCTCGGCATTGCTTAACTTTGGTGATTGTACAGGTACCAGTGTTTCAACATGATGTAGCTATAAACCAAGGTCATTAGAAAGTGGTTATTGATTTGGTCTATGAAATCATGTGGAGTATGTTAGATTCTCACTGGGTGACTTATTTTTATGGCCAGACTATGTTAATATTAAATACATAATAAAATCTGTGAGACAAAAACAAAAGTGAATATGATTATATGTCTTATACAGACTAGCATGCTTATTTTGGTTGTTATAACCACATTGCTTCAACAGTTTTACCCTTTTTGCCTTCAGGTATCTATCATCATATTTGGTAACTATTTTGAAATTTCAGATTGAACCCTTTATTAAATCTACAGGGGTGACTTGTTCACATTCTGCTTTCTATGTGTAGAGGAGATAACTCATATAATTTCATACAAACCAGTCATATTCGCTTATTGTGTCACTTGTTTGATTTTTCCACTGAAACAGAGCTTCTTCTTCTAATACTACTACTACTTCTTCTTCTTCTTTTTCTTCTTCTTATTTGTGCTGCATCCTTTTCAGAACATGGGTAATCTTAGCTCTTCAAACCTTTCTTTGCCTTGTGACCCTTAGCAGTTTGTGTCTTTTTGTTAAAACTACCCCACCCCTGGCCAGCTATTCTGCCATCCATTCACACAAGGTCTTCAGGTAATTGGCTTGCTATCTTCCCCTATCTCTCTTTCCCTCAATATGCCCTGTGAGGGTTATGTTTTCTGAGCCCTCTTTCTGCATTATGTGTCCAATGAATTTCAACTATCTCTTACTGACTCTGAGCATAAGTGTTCTTTTTGATGCCATTTTCTTTAAGACTTTCTTGTTGATTTACTCATTTTGTCCATGGAATTCTTGGTATTCTTTTCTAGAAACACATTTCTGCTGCCTCCGGTTTTCTCTTCATCTATGGGGAGATTGTCCAGCATTCACTGCCAGATAAGAGGACGGATATCACATAGAAATCCAGCACTCTTTACTCTGTTTCTTGCGGACTATTCCCTAAATCAATATATCATAGTTAATATAGAAAAGATTATTGCAAACACACAAAAATGTCATGTTCCTTGTCTTATTTTTGTAGAAACAATATCTATCTGTGGATGTAGTGTTTCATGCAGTTTATTGTATGCAGTATTGTATACGGTGTATTGCATTATTTTATGCAGTGTATTATATGCAGTGTATTGCGTGCTGCATTGTATGCAGCATATTGCATGCAGTATTGTATGCAATGTATTGCATGCAGTATTGTATGCAGTGTATTGGTTAGTGGCATGGAATGAAAAATCAGTAAACCGATTTTAAATTCTGGTGAAGTTCCTTACACTCACTTGAGTGGCAACCAGTCTGGGAGAAGGACAACACTGAATTCAAAAGCCAGCCAGCTGAAACTATACTAAAGATAGTTAGACATGTTACATCTGGGAAAAAAAAAAAAAGCAAAGATAGAATTCAACAATTTACAAATGATCTGACTGGAGGGCAATTATCCAGAATGTTGCTGACACCAATAGGCGCAAGAAAGGATGGATGGATGGATGGAATATCTACTTCTATTGATAGATAGAACTGTCATAGCTTATTTCATTCACTATTACATCATTGTTCTGATGAGCTTTCTAATATGGTACCTTGACTTTACAAATTTAAGTGTAGTACTAGACAAATGTGTATTATGGTGTGTCGGATAACAACTCAGAATGAGAAATCAGAAAGTCAAGTTTGAATTCTAGTAAGGTTTGTTGCATTCACTTACACACAAATACCCTGGGGAAAGGTATGAATCCCTCTCTTCTCCCTCCAGCTATGGGTTAAATAGCAGGATAGACTGGGCCCGGTAGCCTTAGTTAGCAAGAAATGGTAACTGGCAGTGGGGAAAATCTTCTGCTTAGTCAGTCATAAATCAAAAAAACATGATCACCAAATCATGTATCGCATACAGTACTTAACTAACTAGATTGGCAGTTCTCATCATTGAATACTCAAAATTGCTAGATGTAAATCGTAAGTTCTATGCTAATAGTTTCTTCTCTTGCACATCTCACTTGTGGAAATCTCTTTCAGTTTCTTACTTTCTAGTCTTTTAAATGCAGTATCAATTCTTTTCCTGTTCTTTGTTCTCTCTCTTCAATAATTGTAATATAGCCGCACTCTAAGTAGAAGCTCATGAGGCTTTAGAGCTGAAAACATTTATTTTATTATAGTGGATGGTTACAAGTGAGAGCGGAGAGGGATGTGCTTATTTTATTACCACAATAATGTTTTTCTTTTTCTCATATTCTTTCACACGCTGTAATCCCTTGCATTTTAATGGCTTTATTGCCTTGTTTAGGGTGAAATTATTTTAAAAAATAAACTACAGTGTTTTGTTCTTCTTAAATAGATGACCGCATACTTAAGCCAAAACACTGAATTCATCTTCCCAGCAACTAACATGCATTGTAATATGCACTGATGCAATATCTACTTCTACTGACAGATGGAACCACTATAGCCACTTATTTCATTAACTAAAGTTGCTACTACTGCCATTCATAATACTTTCTAATTCAAATTCATTCTGTCTGTAGAGACACCAATAACCTTACTGCATGTAAAAGCATTTCTTTTATACAACAATTATTTTTCAATATGGTTGCCTTCCTTGTTAATGCACTTAGTTATCTGGTGAATATCGGTCACATAGACTCAGCATTATACAGCCTGACCTCTTTAATCTAGCACTTGGTGCTCCAGCAACCCACATGGTCTGGCATTTTTTGAATCAGCCAACATTAGTTCATAGAGCAACTATGAGGGCAGTGCCACACATTGTTTACAACTTTCCACAGCAGCAGATTATTTTGGTGATACAGTCTTGTTCATTTTATATATATAGCTGCATATTTACCTATTCAGGATAGTATGTATATATTATTTTTCGATTATAGGCTTTTTTTTTTTAGCCTTTGGATTGCATGAAATGATTGTTTTATTTTCTGTTTTAAGCTTTGTTCTATGTTTGATAACACAGCAAAATATATGTGGAATGAGCTGGCAAGACTGTTTGCATGATAATGGTAATATTAGCCATTTCCCTATAAGGAAACATTTGATATTCATCATGCTTTCGATTGAAATTTATACAATCTTTCTCTTAAAACCATTTTTTAGAAAAATATGTTTTTTAAGTCCAGTAGTTAATATAGAAAAGATTATTGCAAACACACAATCACTCTTTCCACTATTGATGAAGGTTTCCTTCCTAACCTTTTGTTTGAAGTAATGTGGAATATCAACATCTTGATTATGTCATTATTTTCTCTTTGAGTTACATGTGCTATCCATTTTATTTATTACTCTCTTCCAGTACTTTGAGGTTTCCTTCCTAACCTTTTGTTTGAAGTCCATTTTGATTATGTCATTATTTTCTCTTTCCAGTTACATGATTTTTAGGTTATTACTCTTTCCAGTACTTTGGGGTTTCTTCCCTAACCTTTTGTTTGAAGTAGTGTGGAATGTCAACATCTTGATTATGTCATTATTTTCTCTTTCAGTTACATGTGCTATCCATTTTAGCTGTTATTACTCTTTCCAGTACTGGTTGGGGTTTCCTTCCCTAACCTTTTGTTTGAAGTAGTGTGGAATGTCAACATCTTGTTATGTCATTATTTTTCTCTTTGAGTTACATGTGCTATCCATTTTAGCTGTTATTACTCTTTCCAGTACTGATTGGGGTTTCCTTCCTAACCTTTTGTTTGAAGTAGTGTGGAATGTCAACATCTTGATTATGTCATTATTTTCTCTTTGAGTTACATGTGCTATCCATTTTAGCTGTTATTACTCTTTCCAGTACTGGTTGGGGTTTCCTTCCTAACCTTTTTGTTTGAAGTAGTGTGGAATGTCAACATCTTGATTATGTCATTATTTTCTCTTTCAGTTACATGTGCTATCCATTTTAGCTGTTATTACTCTTTCCAGTACTGGTTGGGGTTTCCTTCCTAACCTTTTGTTTGAAGTAGTGTGGAATGTCAACATCTTGATTATATCATTATTTTCTCTTTGAGTTACATGTGCTATCCATTTTAGCTGTTATTACTCTTTTCCAGTACTGGTTGGGGTTTCCTTCCTAACCTTTTGTTTGTTTGAGTGTGGAATGTCAACATCTTGAATGTCATTATTTTCTCTTTGAGTTACATATCCATTTTAGCTGTTATTTTCTCTTTTCCAGTACTGGTTGGGGTTTCCTTCCTAACCTTTTGTTTGCTGTTAATGTCAACATCTTGATTTCCATTATTTTCTCTTTGAGTTACATGTGCTATCCATTTTAGCTGTTATTACTCTTTCCAGTACTGGTTGGGGTTTCCTTCCTAACCTTTTTGTTTGAAGTAGTGTGGAATGTCAACATCTTGATTATGTCATTATTTTCTCTTTGAGTTACATGTGCTATCCATTTTAGCTGTTATTACTCTTTCCAGTACTGGTTGGGGTTTCCTTCCTAACCTTTTGTTTGAAGTAGTGTGGAATGTCAACATCTTGATTATGTCATTATTTTCTCTTTGAGTTACATGTGCTATCCATTTTAGCTGTTATTACTCTTTCCAGTACTGGTTGGGGTTTCCTTCCTAACCTTTTGTTTGAAGTAGTGTGGAATGTCAACATCTTGATTATGTCATTATTTTCTCTTTGAGTTACATGTGCTATCCATTTTAGCTGTTATTACTCTTTCCAGTACTGGTTGGGGTTTCCTTCCTAACCTTTTGTTTGAAGTAGTATGGAATGTCAACATCTTGATTATGTCATTATTTTCTCTTTGAGTTACATGTGCTATCCATTTTAGCTGTTATTACTCTTTCCAGTACTGGTTGGGGTTTCCTTCCCTAACCTTTTGTTTGAAGTAGTGTGGAATGTCAACATCTTGATTATGTCATTATTTTCTCTTTGAGTTACATGTGCTATCCATTTTAGCTGTTATTACTCTTTTCCAGTACTGGTTGGGGTTTCCTTCCTAACCTTTTTGTTTGAAGTAGTGTGGAATGTCAACA